TTTTTTTTAGAGAGTGCTTCAGTGGGCGTTATTTTAAATATTCCTCTCGGCACTGCTCCGCATCATACGATGGTCTCGTCAGTCATTTTCTTGTCGACTTGGTCGCACAGATCGTTGGGTGGTGTGCGCTCCTTTCATGTCGGGCATGAGCAGGCGCACTTTCTGATTGGTCCTCCTCCACTCCGAGTACAACTGACAGTGATACCGAAATGACACCTGAGATTAGGATGAAAGAAGAGTGGGGGAGATAGGACGGGAGGTGAGACCAGAGGATAATACAACTGACAGCAAGACATTTGAGACAGAGTAGTCTGACTACAGGACACGAGTTACAGCACGGCTGCTCACGAGCTATAAGCCAACGGGCTAAACTTTCACAATTTGTCTTTTTGAAGGTTTCCTTGGCTGGAGATTAAATTATTAAGTTTCTGTACAAGGTGTCAGCCTTACAATAAATCCAATTTTAAAACAATATCATCAACCTGGAGAAAAGAGGCTTAGTCTCTTATTTAAGAGTAAAGCCAGCTTATTGAGTTATGTGTATGCATGCATGAGCTGTCAGCATACATTTCAAACAAATAACTGCTCTATACATGAGATTATCATGTAGCACGTTCCCCTACCTTTGTTTTCTTTGACTTTAATCAGAGGCTACTCGAGGTCATATTATAACCAAATAGTAACTCTGGTTGTAGATATAAACGGAAGATAATTAATCAATGTATATGGTTGTCTATCTATTGCATCTGTGTCAGTTTACATTTGTTTTAAGCTCTCTATGGGATACTGAGATATTCAAACCAATGTGTGGGTGTGAGAAAAGAAAACCTTCAATCTGTGCCAGCACCTTATGTACAATAAACAGGAGTTTTGTATACAGTTCTCTCAGCCGTTACAGGCCAATATCTAAAGCAATGCAGTAATCACCAGTGTCCAGAGGATGTAGATGGTGAAGAGGGCGATGGTGAGCGCAATGAGGCCCACAGCCTCCAGTCTGCTCTTCAGCTGCAGGTGGTCCTGGGCGCCCCTCAGACACAGCCAGCCAGAGATGGCGGCCAGTGGGGTGATGAGCAGGAAGCAGGCCATGTCACAGAGCAAGGTGCGCTTCTCACTGCGAGGGCCCGGGTCCTTCAGCCACTGAGACACGGAAGAGGTTGTTGATCCAACAGAACATTAGGTTTACACCAACCGCAGAATCATTCTGCTATCATTTGTCAACACTTGAGCCCATGAGAGCGACGAGGAATTTGTGCTTTTTTATGTGCGTTCAACTACTAGACTGATCATTATTTACAGTCTTTCAAGCAACTTGAGGAGAGAAAAGATCTGTAGTGTAGAGACCACCTGATTGATAGCTGCACCTACAGTTTATGCAGATGTCTGTTTGTGGAGAATAACACAAGCTAATCTATTGCCAGATGCTCTCTGACTGGATCCAAGATTACATTACAGTCGATGTGCTTCACTTCTTTTGCTTCCACAATGTTTCACTGCGTACAACCATAGATGAAGACAAGTGGATGATACTTCAAACTACAAATGTACACAGTAACACACTTAAAATCTCGTCCTCACATAAAGATTCTGTACTCATATGGAGAACCTGTTTATAGAGATTTTGCTGTATACTAATAACCTTGTTCATTTTGTATTTGTCTAACTGGTGTATTTTATTTTGTAATGGCTATAACAACATGATTCTGCCAACTGAAACAGACTCAGAAAGTTGTGACCATCTAGAATAAGTAATATGAATGACCATACCTTATCAATGTTAGCAAATCAGTTAAAGCATTTTTCTCAAGATTACAAAACCCTCTAACCTGTGTGAGTGGTTGTGGTCGTCGTTCAATAGTGAATTCTGTGTGACAGAGTTCACAGTAGCTAGTGTTGGAGGAGGACAGCCACTTCTCCAAGCAGCTCTTGTGCACTTTTCCCAGCGTGCCGGTGCAGTCACAGGGTGAGAGCAGAGTCTCCCCTCCAGCTCCCTCATGACAAATCCGACACATGCCCACATCGCTGTGGAGCAAAGAATAGACATAATGATCAACCGAAGAACAACGCAATTAGGGTATATTCACGAGTCCAATGCGAGTTCCTCCCCCTCTTACCTCTGCAGGCTCACCGCTTTGACGACGGTGGAGAGTGGGCGGCCGTCTTTCGCCGTCACCTTGGCAACATATTGGGCTTGTGTGTTAGAATCAGACTCCTCCAAATCCTTGGAGGCATCGGATTCAGCGTTCCCCGAGTAATCACAAAGGGAGCCGGGTAGGTGGCAGCATCCTGATGAAGACATGTCTCAGCGGAGGGTGACAGTGACTTAAGATGATGGTGGAGGCGTCTTCAAAGAAGGGTCTGTAACAAAATCTGATGTTCCACTTTTCTTCTTCCCTCCTCTGCCCACCTACAGAACAAAGCAAAGCGGATTATAACAAGAACACGAACAGATGTCGATGATTAATTGAAGTGACAATAAAAAATTCTTTGCGCTCCTCAGTGACACCATGTTAATACAGGAGAAGGTGATATCCTAACGGGGAGAACCAAGTGAGATCAAACTGTAAGTCTCAAAAAGGGGGTGGACAGTTAGTCTTTTGGAAATAAACAACATCAAAAACCTTCAGAAAAAAAGCAGGGAAAATTTCAAATCAACCAAATGGGTCAATCAGTACAAAGGCATGTTGTGAAGCTCAACCCCTCCAGCTATTAGTTAAAAATTGAGATGTCACAGCTGCTAAGAATGCCAAATATGTTTTGCCGCAGATAAATGTTTATCACAGGCACAAGACATGTAGGACTTAACCTTGGGGTAATAATGAAGCAATTTAGGATTTAATTTAATGTTTTAAAGTATTTTCTTCAATAGAATTAATTGATTAAATTACTTTAATAGGGCTTGAATTTACAGTGTTGGGGGGGGGGGGCACAGAATGCCCTTCAGACTTTCCCCATTTGACACTTATATCAACATATATAAAACATTATAAGAATTCACAAGTATTGAAACATCTTGGTGCGTTTAGAGCCAGACCACGGGGACATATGAGCCTATGTTATTATTGTTTTTGTAATCGGGGAGTTTAACAATGTTTAATCATGCACACTAGAATAATAATAATTCATCGTACTGTCATGTGTAGGTGTGTATGTCTAATCTGAAGTCACATCGTCTACTACTGTTTCCATTACGGTGTTTCGAAGATGAGCAGCTGAGATCTGACAGCCTTTGTTGGCATATCTACACATTATTGACACTGTGTCGTTATAACAACACCACTAACGAAGCCAGCAGTGATCTATAACCACGGTGAAGTGGGTGAACAGTGGTCCACTAACGAGTCGATATGTGATGTAGGTGAATAAAAAGCTGGTGAACAAGGTGAAAGACAGCCGATAGCATGAATTTACTCACCTGACGACGGCCTCCCTTGTCTCGCTTGGCCTTGGCTTTGGCCCTGCGCTAACCAGACGCGGGCTCGATGAGCTAACCGGACAGCTCTAGCTATAAACTATAACATTGACATCCAACCAAAAGCTGGCGACAACAGGGAATACAAACGACAACCACATGCGCTGCGTCCTCTCCATTGTGTGTAGTGTATCTCCCTCGGTTAATTCTGCTTGAAAGGATGAGAAGAAAACGGCTGTGTCTGCCAGGATTACCAGCGCAGCTAAGGTGGCTAACAAGCCAAGCAAGCAGCAGGCAAGCCTACTTCAGCATCCCTCAGCTGTGCACTGGTCATGTGACTCAATGCTGCCTTCAATGTCGTTAGTAAAATAATATCAAGGGAAACTTTTAAAAAAATTAAACCAGTTATCAAGGAGTGTAATTCGATCAGTACGCAGGTAAGGACTACTGGTGAATCTGTGTTTTCAGATTTTTTTGTTAAGATGGAAGTCCAGTCAAACCAATTATAAAAGTAATCAATGTTATTATTTGATTTGTAAAGCGATTTTAATGTTTAACAACATTAAGCTGGGGAGCATAAAATAACGCTAACGAATCAGCCCTCAAGAAAAAACAGAAATTTTATTATAGCATTACTGTTCCAACTCCTAACGCTATAATATATCATAGGGGACATAAGTACAGTAAGACCGTCTCGAAGCGTTAGAACGTCAGTTTACGAGTATTCGTGAACGCATCACAAAGCACAAACAACAGCAATAAAACGTGAAGTAATGCCTGTTACGAGATATTTGGCCTGATTTTTTTCAGCCTCTCTCTTGTACGTCAATGTTGGTTTATTTTGACACTCGTTGTTCTTTATCTAAAAACATAATAAGTAAGTTATGTCAAGATAAAAGCGCTAGGTGGCAGCATATAGTTTACCCTCTCAGGGTGTTGCAGAATTGAGTTGGTAGGGTTGTTCAAACGATGAAACGATAGATGTTTAGATATTTTATGGAAAAGGTATTCTGCTATTACTGCAATCTGCTGTTCTTTTTGTATGGCATTTTGAGCAACAACAGTAGGCCTAAGCTACAACAGTGGTTAAAATCAGTGAAATCAGTTGGTAATGCATGACACCCTGTTTGCTGCATTAAGTTTGATATAAATGCATTTGTACATAAAATTAATGGATTTTGGTTGATCACACACAACACTATGATCTTTTCTGAGATTAAGTATTATTTTTGGGTCACACCTACCAATTCACACACTGGTGCCAGAGTTTGCCATGTAGGCTAAGTGTACATGTGTCCATCAGTATTATTATAACTAATCCCATTCATACACATTCACTAGGTACACAAGGTACTAAAGTCAATTCTCGGACCAGTGATACCATTTTTAAAAGTCAGGTTTAGGCTACAAAACTGGCATGTTAATTTATCAAGGTATTTTTTAACTGATTCACTAGTATGCTGCATCGTGAAACTTCCCTTGACCATACATAGTCAATTTTGTTGTTATTTACTCTCACTTTTATTGTTAACAAAAGTGATGATCACAAAATGTAACAATCCTCCAAAAATATGTTTTAAAAAGCTTAATTCCTATTGACTTACAGCCAATAACAGTTGCAGAGTTGTTTGTAGAGTTCATTGAATTTGATTTTGATGAACCTCATAGTCTTTGGTAAAAATAAATTATTTTTAGTGATCACCCACCAAAAAGCAAAGTCAAAGCCTGAAAGCAAACACAACCGCACACTTCAACCAAGGAATACAGTGCTCCCACTGATCTAGTTTTGGTCAGCCCTTGGTCATAGATCTTTCGGTCTTTGGGGGTCTAAGTGAATAGTTCTATAAGTGATAATTTGTAGATTTTGTAAGATGTACCTCGTTGTGAATTCTGAAATGTGTCTATAGTCTGATGTAAAATATTAACCTCCACAGGTCATTTTTTTAATCATTAGTTAAACAACAGCTAGACTCTCTCTCTCCCTCTCCCTCAACCTCTTCTTATAACCTTTGGCCCCCTTTGGATTTAAAAAAAGAGAAGGTCCCGTCATAGTCAGTGTAATCTGAGTATATTAGTGAGAACAGGGATCTTCACACATACGCACACACATAACTCAAAGCAAGTTTTTTGTAAGCTATCCCAACACTTTGGTCAAAGTCCAAAAGAAATCATGAGTCACTACCTTTCCGCATGTGGGATATCATGAGATGTGTTAGTGGACTTTAACACTGACAGATACACAAATGTGCCAGTTGTTCATTTACCCATCACACGTTTTGGATGTTTGAGCATCTAGCCACTATTAGGAAAAGAAAAGCAATAACATTTAAATGATAAAGCGTTTCTGAAATATTTAGCAGTAGCATCTGTACAATACAATTTAAATGAATAACGGTAGACTAAAATATGAAGGTAGCCTATATAAAATATAAGAGGATTACAACATACAATATGATATGATAATGTATGGTATGGTGGGATAGGATAGGATACAAAACAATAAGATACCAAATGATATACACTAGCATACAATAGGATATGAGACGGAATGACACGACAAAACATGATACGCTACACTACGCTACGTTACGCAAAACTACGCTATGTTACGTTACTTTACGTTACGTTACGTTACGTTACGTTACTCTTTCATTACTTAACGTTGTATTGTATTACAATACAATACAGCATTTATGATACAATACAATATGGTACGATACAAATAACGATATGGGACAATATGATACAACACGACAAAATACGATATGTGACACTTCATTGACCATGTAGAAAAAGTTTTCTTGGTTGCTTGAAATAATTGTTTTACTTTGCCTGTTGTTTTAGTAATGGTCACTGGATTCATGATCCATTCTTGCTCGAAAGGAGAAAGGAGTGAATGAGGCTGATATACGAGGCCTGAAGTTGTGTGAATGACGAAGCAGACATTCCTAAAGTTGTGACAATGTGGTTGTCACAATAGTAGTGGCATTGTTTCACTTCATGAGTGCGTCATGTGTGACTTCTGTATGCTGCACCAGGCGTCTGCATGTCTCAAATGCAATATAAATATATTTGTTTTAGTACAAGCATGTAGTATGTAAAAAGAAAAACGACATATTACAGCATTTATAGCCTAAGCAACTTTTCATGATACATGAAAATGACCTCACTCAGCTTTGTTGGAAACCTGCCTGACCTGTACTGACTGCAAATATTATGTGCACAAATGCACATAATATAACATATTATTCTCATTCTTAACATTGAAAATTTAATGTTCAGTGTGTGTCGCAAATTTGAAATTAAATCACTGAAGACAAGTAAAGTAGAATAAGACATAAATAAAAAGTAAATTCTTATTGGTAGAAAGTTCTTGTCAGGTAAAAATTAGACGTTTTGCATGGGCAGCTAAAAAAGTCTGATTGTCCCACTTAATAATGACTTGAATATAGTGCATTGTATTCAGTAGTTATTCTGTAGTAGAAAGAACTTGAGAGTGTGAGAAAGTCACTGACTTATAGAGAAAAAGGAAGACAGATATGTGAAGACAGACAGATTGCATAAGTTATCCAAAACGTTTGGCTTTCAATAAGAGTGTAACTTGATTGCTACAGTTCTGTCCCGTGATCCTTTGAGCTATCAGTTAGCGTCCTCATGAGCTCCAGTGGAAGGAAATACTGTAATTCAGTTTCTTTCATTTTCCAGTGAACAATTTTTGTTGTATGAATATTACAATTATATTCAACTATTCACGAGTACTTAACCCTAATGTTCTGTATGCTTTGTCTACATTTCAGCAGTATTTAGTTGATATTTAGTCTTGGGAACATTTCAGAATGAAATCATCTTAAATCTCTTGGAAATACGCAACTAAAAAACGCTCCATTGTGATAATGCTTTTAACTTACAATCCAAAATACATTAATAGAATTTCATTGTGGACTGTATTTTGAGCCCTGAAGATAACCCTGTAAGAGTCAAAGTACTGTCAGAGTATTTATTTTTAGATGTTTTGGACTTTTACCTGGTCATGAACATACTGATTTGAAGATCCAAATGTATTAGAGCATTTTATGAACTGAACTGATGATATAAAGCAAAGTTACTGAAATGTGACAATTGAAAGAAACTAATCGATTTTTTCTGAAAAAGTGATCTCAGTTCATTAATTCTTTTTGTTCTCTTTTCGTACAGGAAATGTAAAAAACTTGAGAGGAGGACTAGCTTGTAAATATTAAATAGCCTACTTATTGATGTTTACTTTGAACAGAAAACTGCTCACTTTAAATATAAGAAGATCTTTAAGCACAATTCATTTGAAATCCTTCATTAATGCATCCACATTTATATCATCTATTTTTGTTGATAATTAGAGGTACACCATTGCCTTTCATCTGACCTGGTATAACTCTATCAGCCTCAATTCAAAGTCATGAGACCAAAACAATCTTTCTAATTCAGGACATGACACTATTGGTTTTGACTTTACAAATGTGAACAGTAAAACGATGCACATGACTTGTACGTGACATAATGTGATCCCAATTACAACACTGAGCAGATTTGATCAGCTCTGTTATTAAATCAACAACTGACTATTTAGAGTGTTTAGTCTGGTGATCCTAATGCATCTTCCGGGAGAAACTATCAGGTTTTCATATGAGAAAACTGTGTTCCCTGCCGTGTACAGTTGGATGCCATTGTGAATCAGTCTGGATTGAAATCAATGATTGAATTAATCAATGGTTCTAATGATAGATAGATAGATAGATAGATAGATAGATGATAGATAGATAGATAGATAGATAGATAGATAGATACATAGATAGATGATAGATAGATAGATAAGTAGCTTGCACTTACTGTATAAGTTATAACATTGAACAAACTGTGAAAAAGACAATGTTTTTTATATTCTCTATATTGCCATACAATGCATTGGATGACTATTTTTGCCATGGGTCTTGTAGGCTTATACTTTCTGTATCAAACATCTAAACAAAAAACATAAATCCTATCATCATGGGACAACCACAGGCCTACCTTGTCATTTCGATGCAAAACTGATGAAGCCTATGCAATATTGTAATTACACAGTGCTGAAGATCCTGGATACAATATTACGCTCAGTGTTTTTTAAACAGAAATAAACTAATAGACTGACTTAAAAGGTCGCCGTTGTTCATTCATTTTATTTTTCCACAGCTGTTTATTTTAAAATGTGTTAAAATGTTGACGTGATCGATTCAACACAAAAACAAGCAGCAGTCAATTCAAACCAAACTCTGTCATACCATTAATGTTAATATCATCCACAGAGACACGAGAGAAAGG